CAATGCAGCCACGAATCGGATTATCGAATCGTCCTCCGAATGAAAGGCGAAAAGGCCGTGAGTTTACGCGAACGTAGCTGGTGGCGTGTATTAGGTTGACGAGGGAAAAACAGTTTCGCTCGGAGAAGGAAGGTGCACGATTTGTCTCGCTTTTATCGCGGCGAGGGTTAAAGCGATCGTACGCGGCCCGTATAAACGAGCGGTCGTCGTCGTCGTTCGCTCGTGGTGGAGAAGGAAGGTTGGTCGGTAAGATATTGGCCGATTCACTTATTCTCATGAATATGTATTCACGTGCCAGTCCGTAGGCTTCCGCTCGGCAATCATTATTCTTAATAACCGGCATTACGGGCGGCGCGGCGTGCCGCGAGGATTTTTCAACGGCTCGGATGCGGCGTGACAGCGCAAAACGACGATGATAAAATTATGCGACGGATAGGATCACGCCGGACGCGCGGAAACCCGACTCTCGCGTAGAAGGATACGAAACAACGGAAAGAAAAGAAAAGAAGGAACGAGAATCCGTTTATCTGGCTTTCTGTCGCAATTACCGCGAATACCTCGATGACAAACTGCACGGGTATTTCTTACCCTTTTCCTTTATCGGCAACGGAGAGATGATTTGCAGGAGGGCAACGACGATCCTATTTCGCGTGCAGGAGTTTCAGTTTCTCTGCTACGGTCATCGGCGTCGCGGCGCAATATTTACGAGTTGGCTTATATTCCACGGCTTACACGCGTTTGCATTATTGACGCGGCTCTGTAAGAACCCGTTCTCTCCCGACATCGAACGATCGTCGGTAATGGTTGCTGCTCCGTGTAGTTGGCTGGCCCGAACAATTTCAAGATAATAAGATCGTATTTGTACGCGTTTACTCGCCAGGCGGGCTCTCGGGGTAAGAAAATCAAGAAGAACCTTCGCACGTTCCGGCTGCCAGCAACGAGGTTAATTACCTATCGCGTTTCCGCCGCTACGCTTGGGAATACTAAAGCGGGCCAGCTGCATTCAACCCTATTTTTTTCAGAGGCTTTTGTGCTCTTCCTATCGCGGTTTTTAATAATCCGTCCGTATTACTTCCCGCCCTTAATTCCCCGCTCCCCGGTGTACTTTCAGCTCTTCATTCTTTACGTTCACCCGTTTTTTTTTTTTCTTGCGCCAGAAATGAAATTGTGTTTCGTTCCCGTCGAGGTTATTACCTGAATCGTGCCGTGAATGGCAAACGACGTGTGCGCGCGAGACAATACCCTACGCACGAATTAGCCGCCCGGAGCGCCGATACCCACGCGGCGGAATATTATCGCAGTCTGGTAATTGCGTTAGACGTTGTTACACGTCTGGGCGAGAAGGGAATCTTTCGCCCGTCGAACGTTACACGAAACGTCTTGGCGGCTTTTGGATAGGTGCGACAAGGCGAGGCGAGACGTGGCAGGAGGAACAGAGGGTGTCTTTAAATCTCAGAACCGAGGCTCTCGTTCGAATTGCAAAGCGCGTTTGCGCGTTACGTCGGTGGTATTCTATGCAACCGCAATTACTCGAGATGACGTCGGAACGAAGACAACTGCCGGCTAGGTCTGGATCCGTCTCTGGAAACAAGAGTCGGTCGGTGGAGCGTGAGGTAGGCGGTTGAAGTAGAAGGGAGGAGGGAATTCGCGTTTGTTGCTGCCAGGCATCTCTTTAACCGGGTTTCTCAGTCCTCCCTCGTCGCGCTTCTTCTTTTCCTTTCCCTTTTGTAACACCGTTTCTGTGTTCGTGCGAGAATAACGAAGCCCGGTCTTTAGACTCGGCCGTTGCGCGGGAGCGATCGTCCGAAAAGCCCCGGTAAACAAACTCGGTGCACGTGTCGCAGCTCGGCAACGCGACAAAGCGCATTATGCGCGCCGCTTGCCTCCGCCGCCCCTCGGGATTCGATAAATTACCGACGCACGTGACGTCACGCCGCCGGACTGGATTCTCTTCTTCCTGCATCGTTCAAACACCCACCGATATTTACCACCTTCTAAGCTTCTCCCTCGAGTCCGATGGATTAACTTATTCCCTCCTCCCTCGGAAAAACCTGCTGCGAGTATCGGCCGGATGACAGGTGGTTGAGCCGGAAAATAGTTGTTATCATTTGCCGAATTACACTTAGACTCCTGTAAATTTTCCCGCGGTACAGCCGGGGAAGAGTCATGGGAGGCGTTTCAAGTCCCTAGAGGCAAACCGTGCGCCATCCCACCATGAATTCATTCGCACCGTCATGAAATTCAAAGCAGTCGTTACGCTGCTGGCACGACGACGACGACGACGACGACAGCGTCGCGAATGGCGTACGGCCGCACACTCGAGCACCTACACGCGTCTCTCAGATGTTTGATGTTTTATTTATAATTTGTTTATGTCATCATCTGTTCAACCTTTCGCCACTCGTATCTACTGCCACGATCCTTCTTCCGAAAGCGCGTTTTCCTTCCAATTTGCCGGAAAACGGAGGCGATTCCCTCGCGATTTTTCACGCGGCATACCTACGTAGTACGTCCCCCGACCCGTCTTATTTCCTTCTTCGGGAATTACGTAACCGCGATTCGCACCTAGTCGGAAATTACGAGAAACGGTCCGCTTACCACGATGGCATTGTACGATCCTCCGGTTCCGGTGAACCTCGATGGTCCCTGGATGAAGATCGAATCAGTGGACCGCTCTAGTACCGCTCGATCGACACGTTTCGCAATTCAATTAAATCTCCGGCAAATATACTATGGCGGCGACCCTGTCGAGTGATCGGAACGTTGAAAACGTTTACGGCGCAGTGATTCGGCGATAATTAATGAACGACGAATTTTTTGCATGGTCGAGTCTGATCGAGCCGCGTCGCGTCGACGAGAGAGAAAGTTTGATCGCAAGTTGCTGGCACGGGCTAGAGGTGGCCGTGTCGCGGGGGGATTCGCTTTAATAATTCCATAGTCTGCGGTTAATAGATCGTCGAGGGATTAAGTGTCGCTTGGCTGTAACGCTCGCGTGCAGATAATTAAATGCGCACGCTAAAATTTATGGGAAATTGGACGGAATCTCGATCAAGTGGGTTAGCACTTAAACCACTCTCGATTCTCGCGTAGCGATTCGATTAAACCTCTATTAAACCGCGCGCATTCGCAAAACAAGGACCGGCCGGTGCCGGATTGTTCGATGAAATAATTTCGCGACGTGACCGGGAGGACGCGAAACCGGCCAGCGTTACGCGGCAAAACGACCGGCTCGATAAATGCAAGTTGACCCGCGTAATTGAAAACGGTCACGTAACTATTCTGAACATTTATTTTCATTTGTAACGAAGCTCCGCGTTTCAGAATTTCGCGGAGCAATTTTATTTCTATTCGGAACGAAAAACAAAAAACACCGTTCGGGGGCGGGAGAGAGAGAGAGAGAGAGAGAATAGCACGGCGGCGGTGTTGGTGCAGGGACGTGTGCGCATATTTGCAGCCTGATTAAACTTCATTTGATGTATGGAAAATTAAGGAAACTCTGGGAACCGACCGAATGAAATTCTCGATGCACTCCCGGATAAATTCGGCCCTGTCCCGGGAAATGACGCGAGTGATTTCAGTTACGCCAGCCAGACTGCGTACGTATACGTATACACGTACAACATATACAGAGAGCGAGGTTGATAGATGCAACTCGTTGAGCGTATAGTGCGGATAGTGCAACGATTACAATCTTGGGAATAGTTTCGCAAGCAATACCGATACAACGATACCTGGTGACATTGGATTTACCTTGGCAAATGCGATGCATAGTCGCGCGATATTCCGGGATCGTTAGACTGACCCGAGCCTGCCATTTTCAGAGTGAACGTAATGTAAAAGTATGCGGCGAGTACGATCCCAAGGACTGCTGTGCCCGGTTGCCCTGAATGCATACTTTAAACGAATTAACGTATTCGCCAGTCGACTTTCCTCTAGTTCTAGCCGTGACTCCGTTCCATCGGGTGGCCGAGCGTTTTTCGGAAAGCTCAAAGGCGAATTTTCTCGGGAGCGATCTTTTCGAGGGAGCGCGAATTTTTATCCAAAGAATAACGACTTCTTCTCCTTTGCCCGAACGTCTCGGATGCTCGGCGACGCGTCAACGTTTCGTTAAGAGGATGGGAAAGGAATCGAGTGACACCGTTCGAATGTAAAGGTAATCTAATCGCGAAAAGATTTGTTGGAATCGTTGTTGGGAGCGCGCGCGTGCGGCCGCGACTCGAAGGAGGTCAAGTGCACTTCTCCGTGCTTCTAGCTTCTTCCATCGTTCCACCGATGTGACGTGACCTCCTCCGCCGGCCGTTTCTCCCTTTTCTTCGCCGCGGTTTTTATCTTAATAATCCTGCCAGACAATATTCGCGAGCCGTCCCACCCTCCGCGCGCGGTCGTTATTAATTTTAATTAAACCACCTTATTGCCCTTT